ATTGCTGCATCCATAAGAAGGGTCCTTGCTTCTCCTCCAGGCTGTTCCCATCCTCTCTCCTCTGTGCTGGCCAGTCACCTGAGCAACTTCTAAGGTCTCTGACTTCCGGTCTGTAGTCCCTTCTATCTAAGAGAAGAGACCATCACTGTCTCCTCGGCCGCACACTGTCCCAAACTGCCTAGAGACATGGAGGTTGGGGGTAGGGAGGGGTGAGGTGCAGGTTTAGACGCCTACTAGAAAGAACAGGTGCAGGGTTGTTGGACACTTCAGTGTAAGCTCATCTCAGCCACTAACTACGTGACCGTGTCCAAACCACGTCCCTCCTCTGTACCTCCTGTGTTTCTAGCTGGGTATGTTGTGGGTAACCGTACCTGCCGGGCGCAGCTTTCGTATTAGTAGAGACGGCTTGTGAACTGCGAAGTGTCGTGTGCTCCTACGGCAAGGTGGTAGGCTTGCCCAGTAAAATATTAATCCCGGACTCCCAGTGAATTCTGAATCTCAGAACAGCAACACACTTTTTTTGTATAACGATGTCCTGAATATTGCATGGAACATGTGTAAACTAAAATAGTATTTGTCATTTATCTGAAATTCGTCATTGATCAGGTATCCTTTTTGTTTGTTGTGTCTTTCTGCTTTGCTTTGTTGTTGTTGTTGTTGTTGTTAACTGGCTGCTGGGACTTCTGGCATCCCCTTGCCTTCTTCCCTCTGGCAGGGCAGTTGCTCTTCAGTCCCCAGACATCACGCCCCGCCCTTGAAGAGGGACCAGGGGGCCCTGATGGTATTTGCTTCCTGCCCTCCACCGTGTGCCCTGCCTGAGTGCTCCCTGTCAGAGCGTCAGCCACAAGGGGAGGCTCACCTGGCAGACAACGCATTTTTGCAACTGTCAGAATGAGTCAAGGTCACCGGGAGAAAGCTCTGGGCTGCGTCCTGCTTCTCTGGGGAGGAGGGGGCAGGGGAAGCAAGAGAAAGGCAGCCTGGACAGGATCCTCTGCGCTCTTTCCTTCCAAATCCCCCCTCCCCAGGAGAGAGAGCAATGCCTAGAAAGCCCTGGAACTTGTGCCCAGACAGGACCCAGTTCTCTTGGGCAGGAAGTGGGGGTCAGTGTGGCAGGGGGGCTGGAGCCAGGAGGCTCAGTGCGTCTTTCAGCTCTGCTTTTCTAACTCTGTGTGCTCCTGGGTAAGTTCTTCATATCTCCTCTCGGGGCTTACAGTAGAAACAGCTAGTGACGACAGCACTGGGCCAGGTGGTGGGCCACAGCTGGAGCCACGTGGTAAAGGTCCTGGGTTCAAAGCCTGGGATCTTCCTGTGTACCCCGGGCATGTCCTTGAGTGCCCACGGTCCGGGCCAGCTAGCACGGGGACAGATCACAGCATGGGGAGCCTGCTGTGAGTGTCTGCTCCCTGTCTCTCTGTGTCTCTCATGGGAGAAACAAATAATTAAATTTGGAAAAGAAATATCAGCAGCTCTAAGTCTTACAAGGGGACTTCAACAGTTCATAAAAAAGAATAAAAGTGCGGGTCTATTCCAGTGCAAAAAAATGAAAATTCATGCAGTGTTTCATAGCATACCTTTTCTAATAACTTTTTGTTTGAGAGGTGTTTTTTGTTTTTTTTTTTTGTTTTTTTTTTTGCTATAGGGCGTGTGCACTCGCCAGAGAGAGAGAGACAGAGAGCAAGAAATCACCCCCCAGGGGGGATGGCCACGCCGTAATCCCTTCTCCTCCATTCTCCTCTCAGGATCTTGGGCACGCATGTACACGCGCCCAGCGTGAGTTTTAAGGCACCAGGTCTGGGACGTAAACCGTGGTCGACTACGTGGGAGTCCAGCGATATAACCATTACGCTAACTGCTTGTCCCTTTAATGACTTTTTTGAGGACTTCTTGTATAGGACTTACTGTGTGCCAGATGCTCTGTGTTTTTTTGTTTTTTTTTGTTGTTGTTGTTGGTTTGTTTTTTTGGAGAGGTTTTTGCTATAGGGTGCGTGCACTTGCTAGAAAGACAGACAGAGACAGAAAGCGAGAAATCACCCCCTAGGGGGAATGGCCATGCCGCAATCCCTTCTCCTCCATTCTCCTCTCGGGATCTTGGGCACGCACGCACACGCACCCAGCGTTGAGTTTAAGCCACTGGGTCCGGGACTCAAACCGTGGTGGACTACATGGGAGTCCAGCGACATAGCCATTGCACCAACTGCTGGTCCCCCAGATACTGTTCTAAGTATGCCATAAATAATACTGTTTTAGTCCTCCCAACAACCCCAGGAGGGGAGTACTATGCCATCTCCATTTTTTTGTTTGTTTTTTAGTTTAGTTTAGTTTAGTTTTTTGCTACAGAGCACATGCACTGCACTCACCAAAGAGGGACAGAAAGAGAGAGGGAAAGTGAGAAAGCACCCCCAAGGGTGATGGCCACTCTGCAATCCCCTCTCTCCTCTCAGGATTTTGGGCATGCATGCACGTGTATCCGGTGTGGTTTTCAAGCTGCTGAATCTAGGACTTGAACCACACAGTTGATCATGTGGGATCCAGCACCCTAACCTCCACATCACCTGCTGGCCCACTCTATCCCCACTTACAGAGCAGGAAACTGGGGTACTCTGTACCCCAGTGCAAAGTAGGGGCAGGATTTGAAGTTGAGCAGCTCAGTGCCAGCTGGGCTCTTGGCTCCCTCCGTGAAAAGTATAAGCTGCAGCAGAAATGCAGGAGGAGCAGGGCAGGGGCTGCTGGTCTGTGCTGAGCAGCTGCTCCATGCTAAGCGGCACTGAGCTCTTTACTAGCTGATCTTGCCTCAGCCTCACAGCCCATGGAGTAGAGGGTGCTGTTACCACATTCTGAATTTAGAGGCAGGGAAACTGAGGCTTAGGGTCTTGCCCAGGATGAGAAGCCTGAGTGCAGATCTGAACTCAGGTCTCTCATGCCAAGGCCCATGCTAATTCCTCCACCACCCACCCTCTCACTGGTTCAGTTTGGGGGACACAAACTGGCCACACAACCTGGGCAGTTGCAGGGGACAGAGATGCTCTTGGCACTGCACCCAGGAGGTGCCCTTGAACTGCCTCTGCCCTCTCCCTACTGAACGGGACCAGCCTTGCTCCAGCCCTTGACCTGTCCCTGGGGCTTGGACACTGGCCCTTGCTTGGAACCGGCCCAGCCCTCCCCCAGCCTCACACAGTCACTGGGTGTCTGTTTTCCCCCTTACGTCATGGAGCGGGAAGAGCACTGCTTCACACTCATACCACTCTTTGCTTTGACCCACATTGCCTCGGTCTGGTCCTGACAGCCCTCCGGTGAGATGAACTGCGCAGCACCGCCGTGTCCCGATTTCACGCGCGAGGAAGGCAATGCTCAAACAAGTCAAGTGACTACCCAGAGATACCCAGATTGGAAGCCAGGACTCAAACCTGTGTCATCAGACCCCCAACTCCAGGCTGCGTGGAGATCTCAGAGGTCAACTCAAGTACTCTGGAGATGAGGAAACGGAGGCTCATTCAGGGAAAGTGGGCCATTCAAGGTCATAGCCACTGAACTTCAACAGAAACACCCGCAGCTCCTGATTGCACAGCGCCCCGCCCTCATCTGGGAGACGACAGGACCAGTTATACCAGCCCAACCAAAAAGCAAGGCAGGGGAAATCAGAACCCCGATGCATCCTCCCACAGCGAGCGTGTCCCCTGGACACTCCTGTCTCCATCAGGATAGGGTCCTCCGGTAGGGAGGTCTGGGAGCCAGGCAGGTGGGTGAGGGCGCCTTGCAGGCCAGGTCATTTTAGGAATAACTCACATGGTAGAGACAGCCCCTGCTGAAGGGCCACTCAGGAGCCGTGTGCTGAGGAGTGACCACCGATGTACGGGGTGTGTGCCTGGGACGGCACAGGACAAAGCGTGAACTACACAGGGAGGCGGCTTCCTTGAGCTCCCAGTGAAAGGAAGGCAAGAGCTCCGCACCCACCTCTGCATGCGCACTGCCTGTTCTGACCCGTGCCTCACAGCTCTGGTTCCAACTCTGCCCAAACCCAGGGGGCCAGACGGGGGGCAGGGTCTAGCTGAGAGGTCACTGTGGGCACAGGGGCTCAGAGGTTTGTGACATTCACCTGCAGCCTGTCCCAGTGCTCATCCCTGTGGATGCAGGGGTGCCCTCCTTCTCCCCCCTGCTGTTCTTCCTTCCTGGGGCCCCTTTACTCTTTGTGCCCTTGTGTCCCCATCTGCCAAGTGGGTATGTCTGTCTAGGCCATCAATGGAAGGTGGACCCAGAAAGCAAAAGTGGCACCAGCCCACAACAGTTTTGTTTAACTTTTTCACATTGGGGCTAAAAAGTCACAGAACTAGGGCCCGTGGGTGGCATGGTGGTTAAGGCAGCTGGATCTCACAGGACCAACTGTGTGGTTCAAGTCTCCCACCCGGTGGCTTGACAAAAAAAATAATAAAAGCTACAGAACTAGACATCGTAGCTGTACCACTGGCTCTCAGTGCGCTGCTGTCTGTCCTCGCCCCCTTGGGAGGGAAGAGCGAATGAGCTGAGGCACTGACAGCCCAGCCGAGGCTCCAGAGGTTGCTGGAGAGAGTCCTTATGACCGCGGGCTCCCCGATGACCAGGACATCGGGAATGGTACTCTTTCCTATACTACCGGACCCTTTCCCTGAGGAGGGGGCTCATAATGACACCGCCACCAGCTCTAGGGCCCAAGCCCAGTGAGATGATCCCTCCTCGGGTGACTCCTAGAATTGACAGGTCCCTGAGTTGGAAAAGTGTGCTGTTGGAAACCTGAAGAAGCCCATCCTCAGAGCCCAGAAACTTCAAAGAATTCCAGATGAATATCTCCCCCAGCGGAGATGCAGGAAACGTCCGGGCTGGGCACTTTCCAGGGTTGGGAAGCCCCTCTCAGCCAGGGCTGTTACTTATGACCCTCCTCCCTTTCCAGGCTAACCTGAGACTTGGGACCATCCTGGACCTTTCCTGCTTCCTCCCTCTCGCATCCCCAGCCCCCAGTCCTGGCTCACCTCTGGGCAGTTTGGATGCGTTCTCCTGGATCCAGGAGAAGAGGTGGGCGAAGTCACAGTCGCAAAGCCAGGGGTTCCCGTCCAGGCGCAGAGTGCGCAGCGCCGGCAGCGCGGCCAGGGCGGCCACGCTGAGGCTGCGCAGGTTGTTGTCGTTGAGCTCCAGCACCTGCAGCGACTCCAGGGTCTCGAAGGCAGCCTCGTGCACGCCCGCCAGGTTGTTGTTGGCCAGGCTCAGTTTGACCAGCCTCCCGGCCGAGCGGAAGGCGCCGGCGCCCAGCTGGGTCAGGTTATTGTAGCTGAGGTCAAGGAAGGCGAGCTTGGCCGAGCCGCTGAACGTGCCCTCCTCCAGCGAGCGCAGAGAGTTGTTCCTGAAGTCCAGGTAGACCAGGTCGCCGTAGAAGATGAAGAAGTCCTCGGGAATCTGCTGGATGCGGTTGCCGGCCACCAGCAGCTTGCGCACGTCCAGGGGGAAGGGGTCGGGCACGCTGGGTAGCCCGCGGTCGCGGCAGTCCACCGTGTGCGGGTCGGTGCAGGCGCAGCCCGCCGGGCACGCGTGGCCCGGCCGGAGCAGCAGCAGGAGGCAGAGCCC